CTTCCTTGCCTTAATTATCAACCTTATATCAAGATTTATTTTAGTAATATTCAGAATCACTAGGAACATTTTGAATTGCAAGCAAGATGTATGATGTTTACAACATCCCTGACCTCTCCCCCACTTAATGCCAATAGCAACCCCCTCCACCGCCAAGTTGTCACAACCAAAAATGTCTTCAGGCATTGTTAGATGTCCCTTAGGGGGGTAAGGGGGGGATGGGACAGGAATAACCCTCAGTTGAGAACCACTGGTTTAGATACATTGTGTAGAAAAGGCAGTTAGTGCTATATAGGCTCCACTTCAATAAGAAAAGATCTACCATCTGTGGAGCTTTATCTGAGATGTAGATTACTTCTCACTCATTGCTTCAAAACAGATTCCTGGAGCTGATAAGAAAAGGGACAGTATCACAAGTTCTGCACAAGCAACACCCTGCCACAAAGGGCTACACCCAAACCAGCAGGAAGTCAAAAGCCTAGAGCCTGCACAGCACAAACTCTTGACAGCTGATGGACTGGCTGTAGGAGAGAAAACAGGGCAGGACAGGGACAAATACACAGGATCCTGCAGCTGATAGCAGTCCTCACTGAGGGTATGGTGAATCCCTTCCATGAAGTGAACTCTTTCTAGAAATTCATCTTTAAGAAAAAATCAGAGATATACACAAAGAGTCATGAATAAAGAATTTAACCTCAGCATTTTTAAAATATATTTTATTGATTTCAAAGAGGAATTCATGCACCGGGCGTCTAGTATGCATATAAGATCTTTAGTTAATCTCTTCCTCACCCTTCCCCTTCCCTCTGAGATTCGTCAGTCTGTTCCATGTTTCCATGCCTCTGATTCTATTTTATTCATCAGTTTATTTTGTTCATTAGATTCCTTATTCATTTATTTTGATTTTTAGATTTAATTGTTGATAGATATGTATTTATTGCCATTATATTGTTCATATTTCTCCTTCTTCTTCTTCTTCTTCTTCTTCTTCTTCTTCTTCTTCTTCTTCTTCTTCAATAAGACCCTTCAACATTTCATGTAATACTGGTTTGGTGGTGGTTTGGTGGTGAACTCCTTTAGCTTTTTCTTGTCTGTGAAGTTCTTTATCTGAAGAATTCTAAATGAGAGCTTTTCTGGGTAATCTTGGTTGTAGGTCCTTGCTATTCATCACATTGAATACCTGCAAAGTTTCTATTGAGAAATCAGCTGACAATCATATGGGCACTCCCTTGTAGGTAGCACTGCTTTTCTCTTGCTTCTTTTAAGATTCTCTCTTGGCATTTTAATGATGTGTCTTGGTGTGGGCCTCTTTGGGTTCATCTTGTTTAGGACTCTCTGTGCTTCCTGGACTTGTAAGTCTATTTCTGTCACAAGGTAGGGGAAGTTTTCTGCCATTTCTTCAAATAGGTTTTCAATATCTTGCTCTCTCTCTTCACCTCTGGCACTCCCATTATGCAAATGTTGGTAGGCTTGAAGTGGTCCCAGAGACTCTTTACACTATCTTCATATTTTTGTATTCTTTTATCTTTTTAAATATATTTTTATTGATTTGAGAGAGGAAGAGAAAGGGAGAGAGAGATAGAAACATCAATGATAAGAGAGAACCATTGATCAGCTGCCTCCTGCATGCCCCCTACTGGAGATGGAGCCCACAACCTGGGTATGTACCCTTGACCAGAATCAAACCTGAGACCTTTCATTCCTCAGGCCAACACTCTATCCACTGAGCCAAACTGGCTAGGGCTAGTCTTTTTATCTTTTTGCTCTTCTGATTGGGTGTTTTTGCTTCCTCATACTCCAAATCATTGATTTGATTCTTGGAATCCTCTACTCTACTGTTGAATCCCTGTAAATTATTCTTTTTTTTATCCTCACCTGAAGATATTTTTCCATTGATTTTTAGAGAGAGTGAAAGAGAGAGAAAAAGACAGAGAGAAATATCAATGTGAGAGAAACACATCTATTGGTTGCCTCCTGCATGAGCTTCGACAAGGGACCAGGCCAAGGAGGAGCCTGCAACTGAGGTACATGACCTTGACTGGAATAGAACCTGAGATACTTCAGTCCTCAGGCCAACACTCTATCCACTGAGCCAAACCGGCTAGGGCTAAGTTATTCTTTATTTCAGTTAGTGTATGCTTAATTTCTGACTAGTCCTTTTTCATGTATTTGAAAGTCTCCCTAAGATCCTTATAAGCCTAACCCATGGACACAGACATCATGGGGGTGAGGGCATGAGTGGGGGATGGGGGGGGCAATGGGGCAGTAAGGACACATATGTAATACCTTAATTGATGAAGAAAGAAAAAAATCCAAGAAAGAAAGAAAGAAAGAAAGAAAGAAAGAAAGAAAGAAAGGAGAGAAAGAAAGACTCCCTAAGATCCTTGAAAGTCTCCCTAAGTCCCTTGAGGCTCTTTTTTAGTCCTTTGAAGCTCTCATTAAGATCCTTGAGCCCTCACCGGTTTGGCTCAGTGAATAGAGCATCGCCTGTGGACTGAAGGGTCCTGGGTTTGATTTTGGTCAAGGGCACATGCCTGGGTTGCAGATTCGGTCCCTAGTGGGGGGCAGGGTGCAGAAGGCAGCTGATCAATGATTCTCTCTCATCATTGATGTTTCTGTCTCTCTCTCTCCCTCTCCCTTCCTCTCTGAAAACAAAAAAATATATTTAAAAAATCCTTGAGCAACCTTATAACCATTGTTTTAAATTCTGTATCTAGTAGTTTGCTTGTTTCCATTTCACTTCACTTTTTTTCTTGATATTTCCTCTGTTCTTTCATTTGTGACATGTTTCTTTGTCTCTGCATTCTGGCTGCTTCCCTGTGTTTGTTTCTGTGTATTAGGTAGAGCTGCTATGTCTCCTGGAATTGGTAGAGTGGCCTTGTGTAGTAGGTGTCCTATAAGGCCCAGTGGCTTAGCTTCCCCAGTCACCTGAAATGGGCACTCTAGGTGCGCCCCTGTGTGGGCTGTGTGCAGTCGTATTGTAGTTGAACCTTGATGCTGTTGATGTCACTGGAAGGAGTTTATGTCTAGGCCAATTGGCTATGAGGACCTACAGTGGAACTCCAACTACAGTGGAAGAGCTGCTGTGCAGGAGACACCCCAATGGAGAATGATCTTCTTTAGTGGGGCTTTGGTGCTCACTGAGTCTGCCCCTTAAATGTGTCACTTATGGATGTGAAGAGTTGTAATCTGGTATGGTCTGAAGCTGTCCACCAGGTGTACTGGCTCTGAGGCACCCAGGAGATGCAAAGTCAGCTACTGCCTGGGGTCCCCAGGCAGGAGCTACTGAGTAATCTGCAGATGGCTGCTGCTTGTATTGAGCTTGGAAGTGCCCAGGAGAGACCAAGCTGTGAAGCAAGGCAGGCTGGTGCTAGGTCCTGGGTCTTGGGCCTCTTATTGATAGGTATGGGGCACACTGAAGCCAGTTGCTACTTGTTTAAGAGGTTTTAGGAAAGTATGAAGCCTGAGCCAGGAGAGGCCATTCATATGGAAAAGCCATTGCAAACAGCATGGCTGGGGCTGAAAATTGGATGGGGCAGGTCTCAAAGAATCACCAAGGTGGAGTGAACATTGTGAGCCAAGCTGATGGAAACTGAGATATGGCTGCCAGACAGTTCTGCAAAGGGGGATATTCCAGCACAGAAATAATGATGCCTGCGAGCACCCCAGTCTTGGAGAAAGCCACCCTGAGCTCTTTCCCTGATATCAAACAATTCAGTTCCTTCCCAAATGCACTGGAGCCTAGAGGGATAGAGTCCAAGTAAGTCCTTGTGCCCAGCCTTTAAGAGGAACTGCCTGGGTCTCCAGCAACCTCTGTGTCACTCAGCCACAATCCCCACTGGTTACGGGGACTTCTCTTCCCAGCTCTGGAACCTTTGGCTGGGGGTCTGGTGTGAGGCTGGGACCACTTGCTCCTCACGGGGCACCTCCACTGCTGGGATATTCCTCCTAGTTAAAAACACGTGGGTGTCAAACCAGCCTGTTCCGTGTCTTGGCCCCTTCTACCAGTTTCTATGTGCTTTCTTCTTTACATCTCTAGTTGTAGCACTTCCACTTACCCAGATTTCAGGCAGTTCTGAATGATGGTTGTTGTGTATTTTAGTTGTAATTTTGATGTGGTTGTGAGAGACGGCAAGTAGTGGCGTTTACTTATGCCACCATCCTGTAATGCTTTTTTAAAGCAATATAAAAATCTCTCTATAGCAGAATCTCAGTTTTGTAAATGTATGTTTTATGTATGCATAGAAAAAAAATGGAGAGCTTATAAACCAGAAAGACCTTCCCAGAAGCCTATGAAACCAGGGCACAGAGAAGCCGGATCCCCAGGACAGAAAGTACAGGAGAGACCCATGACCCTAGACTCAGAGCTGAAGGAACCACTCACAGTAGCAACTGTAAGGGAACCCCAAATTAGACACTGCCTTGGCCTGCCACCCAGGGCCCAATGCCCTGATTCAGCCTAAGCTACGGGAAAGAGAAAGAAGCTAACACTGCTCAAGTCAAAACACATTGTCTGAGTACTGACTGCATGCCAAGATGCAGTGCTGTGCATGTAACAAAAGGGGAGGGATCTCTGTCAGTATGGGGGCTTGTTTTTCCTGGGAAGACCCTGGACATATCCTCTTCTCACTGTAAAATATCTCATGACTGCACGCCCCACATTAGTGCCCCATGCCAGAGAGAGATTAAGTAGAAGCTGACAGATCTCTGCCCAGATTATGTGATTTGTGGTTAAGAACACTATTTACTGAGTCCATGTTTTTTATTAAATGATGAAAGGCTTCTGTCCTTACTCAACCTTTCAGTACTTTCAACTTATTTGGATAGTTGAAGTGTTTGAAGTTTTTTGGTTTTGGTTTTGCAACATGGCCTTAGGGCTATCAGACATCATGGCTCCCAGAAGAGGAGTTGGCTGCATTACTTTGGGTTGGTTTCCTCATCAATAGTTGCATCACTGGGCACGGGTAGTCAGGAAGCTAAGATCTTTGTTAGTTGTCATTATGCTTTTCCTGATTAAAATCTTCTCTGATTTTCGAGTTCGATCGGTAGCGGGAGCGGAGAGCGGACCCCAGAGAGCCCTGAGCAGCCCCACCGCCGCCGCCGGCCTAGTTACCATCATACCCCGGGAGGAGCCGCAGCTGCCACAGCCGGCCCCAGTCACCATCACCGCAACCATGAGCAGCGAGGCCGAAACCCAACAGCCGCCCGCCACCCCCGCCCCCCCCAAATGCCCCATACGGGGAAAAATTACTTTAGCCACATGAAGGGTGTCATGAACAAAACCCAGGCTTCAGAGCCAGACAGGCGGGGGTTCAAATCCCCACTTAGCCACCCTACCACCTAGGCAACCTTGGGCAATGAAGAAGGTGAGAAATGGGCTCAGGCTTTGCTGACAAATTCGATGCATCAAGGAAGCCTTCATGGTTTTGTTCTGAAACCTAGAAGCCTATAATGACCATTTCTGAAAGAGGGAGGATTGCTGGGGAGACATCACAATCATGGACATACTGAATTTGAGATGTCACTCTCCATTGTGGAATGTCTTTTTAAAACTAAACATCGTCTGACTCTCTTAACAACAAAAATAAAAAACCTCAGTGTTAAGATGTTAACAAAGACTCTACCTCTTGACTTGGTCTTATCAAAGACTCTGACCATGCAGTCATATTAAGTCACTCTCCTATTTAAAACTATCCAGTGGCTTTCCACTGAATATAGAATAAAATCTAATAATTTCTTACCATACTCTCCAAGGCCCTTCCTGTACGTCCTATCTGCCCAACTTACCTTGTAACACTCCTGGTACATTATACTACTTCTATAGGGGCCTTATGTCTGTGTTGTGAACATGTCAAGACCATTTAGGTCTTAGGCACTTGCTACTACTGTTGTCTCTTTCTGGAATACTCTTCCCACTGTTTTTCTTCTGTACCAGAGACTGTGTGTGATCAGTCAGCTTGCAGCCTTCCTGTTATCTCCTCAGAAAGTTCTTTTGTAATCTTGATTATCTTCTTAGCCTTTCTCATCCTCTGAAGTTGCTCATTCATCATCCCACATTCATTGATTGTCGAAAGATATGGGGTGAGCGATCGAGAAAAAAAAATAAGAGTAGGGGGTAGCATAATGATTGAGGGGGATCGGGGGGTAATATTGGACAAAGAATAGAATCCAAGATCATAAAGAGTAACGAGAAAAGGACTATAATCCATTAGAACGTAATTGCTCATATTATGGGTGGTGTCCAAGAAGCAGGCGATTAGTACGAACCACCGCAC